ACCAACTATGACAATTGGAAGGTACAAATGAAGGCTCTTCTCGGCTCCCAAGATAACTGGGATGTGGTCGAGAATGGGTATGAGGAACCGGCAAACACAGATGGGTATTCAAATGCCCAGCTGAACGCATTGAAGGCCGTTCGAGCAAAAGACAAGGCGGCTCTGTATCTACTATACCGAGCCGTCGACGAATCTGGCTTTGAGAAGATAGCTAACGCAAAATCTTCCAAAATAGCATGGGATACACTTGAAAAAACAAACAAAGGAGATGAAAGGGTGAAACAAGTTCGACTTCAAACCCTTAGGGGCGAGCTTGAAAACATGAAGATGAAAGAGCCTGAAAGCGTATCCGAGTTCATTACTCGGGTGGAGACTGTGGTGAACAAGCCGAATCAAAATGGTGAGAGTCTTTCATCAAACCGAGTTGTTGAAAAAATCTTAAGATCATTGACAGATGATTTCGAGAACATCGTGTGCGCAATAGAGGAGTCCAAGGATCCGTCAACGCTCACCCTTGAAGAGCTTGCCGGGTCCCTAGAAGCGCATGAGCAGAGAAGGAAAAACAAGAAGGGGGAGTCCCTTGAACAGACACTCCAGACAAAGGCGACAATAAAAGAGGAGAAGGTGCTATATGCTCAGAGCTCCAGAGGCCGAGGAAAAGGCAGAGGTCGTGGTGGTAGAGGAAAAGGAGGACGAGGAAATGAGCAAGACGGTCAACAGAACTGGCGTGGCCAAGGACAGGCTCGGGGTGGCCGGACAAACACAAACAATATTGAATGCTATAATTGTGGGAAGAATGGGCATATTGCCAAGGATTGTTACACGGTAAAATGCTATAATTGTGGAAAGAATGGGCATGTTGCCAAGGACTGTTACTCCGTAAAATGCTATAATTGTGGAAAACTGGGTCATATTTCCAAAGATTGTAGGTCTGAGAAGAAAAAGGAGGAACCAACAAACTTTCCTGCTGAGGAAGAAGACGAAGGATTGCTGATGGTGACAAACACTTCAGAAACTGAGATCAAACCGAACTGTTCTAATAACTCGGTTTGGTACTTAGACACCAGCGCTAGTAACCACATGTGTGGTGATGAGCGCTTATTCAAAATACTTTCAAAGGTGGAGTCCGGATCTGTTTCTTTCGGTGATGCTTCGAAAGTAGCTGTCAAAGATCAAGGAACGATATGGTATCAATAGAGAAATGGGCAAATCGGAGAGATCAGAGATGTATACTACGTACTCGATCTCAAAAGCAACATATTGAGCATGAGACAAGCTAATGGAGAAGGGGTACTCGGCTCGATGAAGGACCGAGAACTACAACCGAAGGATAAATTAGGGAGGCTTGTTGCTCTGGTGGGAATGAAGAAAAATCGCATGTACAAACTTGAGTCGAAGACAGCTCAAGATAAATGTACGCAATTTGATATGGAGGATGAGGTCATGAGGTGGCATTTGCGGTTTGGTCATCTTCATTTTGGTGGGTTGATCATACTGGTGAAAAAGGAGATGGTGCTCTGATTGCCTAAAATGGAATTCGAAAAAGGTTCTCGTGAAGAATGTGTGATTGGGAAGCAAGCGAGAACTTCTTTCCCAAGAAGTTCCGAGTGTCGAGCAAAGCAAAGAACTCTGGAGTGATCCATACCGATTTGTGTGGGCCAATAACTCCGTAATCTTTCAGTGGTAAGAGATATTTTGTCTCTTTCATTGATGATTTTTCAAGGAAAACATGGGTTTATTTTCTCGAAGGAGAAGTCGAAGTGTTTGAAACTTTCAAGAAATTCAAAGTTATGGTGGAGAAAGAAACAAACAAAGTCATCAAAGCATTCCGATCCGACACAGGAGGCGAGTTCACTTCTACCGAGTTCAACAAATACCGTGAGGAACATAGGATCAAACATTTCCCGATCGCCCCATATTCTCCGTAGCAAAACGGTGTAACGGAACGAAAGAACCGAACCATTCTTGATATGGTTCGATCTATGTTGAAAGGGAAGAATATGCCAAAGAAGTTTTGGGCAGAGGCGGTGCAAGTGCGCAGCCTATTTGCAAAATAGATGTCCACATGCAAAGTTAGGAGAGAAGACGCCTCAGGAGATATGGAGTGGTATGAAACCAAGTGTCTCTCATCTAAAGGTGTTTGGTAGCATGGCTTATGGGCAAGTACCAAGTCAAGCACAGACTAAATTAGAAGATCTGAGTAAGAAGTACATATTTATCTGGTATGATGGAAAATCTAAAGCTTATAAATTGTTTGATCCCGTTAATAATAAAGTGGTGGTAAGCCGAGATGTTCATGTGGAAGAAACAAAACATTGGTGCTCGGAGTAACTCGACGTAAGAAGAAACTAGTTCAGAAATTGTTTTGCCTTCAACAATAACAACCATTGAGTCCTTAGATAAAGAAATAGAGCCACAACATGCCTCAAGATGAGAAGTCTGGCAGGATATATACGACACTACAAATGAAGTTCATGTTGTATGTCTTTTGGCTAATTCCGAAGACTTGAGTTTTGAGAAAGCTGTCCAAGATGAGAAGTGGAGAACAACCATGGATGAGGAGATTGGAGCGATTGAACGCAACAAAACTTGGGAACTGACCGAACTTCCTAAAGGAGCTCAACCCATTGGAGTAAAATGGGTGTACAAAAAGAAGATGAATGTTGAGGGAGAGGTTGAACGTTACAAGGCTCGACTTGTGGTGAAGGGTTATAAACAAAAGGAGGGAATTGACTATGATGAAGTATTTGCTCCTCGTTACGAGAATGAAGTCAATCCGACTTCTAATCTCATTAGCCGCTCGTAATCAATGGTCGATTCTACGGATGGATGTGAAGTCAGCATTTCTAAATGGAGTGCCGAAGGAAGAGGTGTATGTTGAGCAACCACTCGGGTACATGAAGAGAGGGGATGAGGAAAAGGTACCGAGATTAAGAAAAGCTCTCTATGGGTCGAAGCAGTGCTCCTCGTGCTTGGAATGAGAGAATTGATGGGTATTTCAAGAAAAATGGGTATGAACAATGTCCATATGAGCATGCTTTGTACACAAAGAAATCAAAAAAGGATATGATGATAGTTGCTCTTTATGTTGACGATCTCATATTCACCTGAAGCAATACGAAGCTAATTAAGGAGTTCAAGGAGGTAATGAAGAAAGAGTTCGAAATGACAGTACTTAGGGCTGATGAAATATTTTCTTGGTCTAGAAGTGAAGCAATCGAGAGGAAGGAATTTTTATATCCCAAGAGAGGTATGCACTTGAAATTTTAAAGAAATTTAAAATGGAGGACTCGTAACCTGGTTTCTACTCTAATGGAACTAGGCACTAAACTCTCAAAGTTTGATGGAGGAGAACGAGCCGATTCTCGGGAGATATCGAAGCTTAATCTGAAGTCCGAGATACCTTACAAGCACAAGACCCGACTTAATGTTGAGTGTCGGGATAACGAGCAGATACATGGAGAATCCAAGTTACACACATTGGAAGGCCTTAAAGAGAATTTTGAGATATGTTCGAGGAACCTTATCACTTGGTCTATTCTATTCAAAATCGGATGACTACCGACTAGTGGGTTACTCTGATAGTGATTGGTGTGGTGATATTGATGACCGAAAAGTACTTCGAGTTATGTGTTCCTACTCTGAAAAACAACTTTTACTTGGTCGTCAAAGAAGCAACCCATTGTAACTCATCAACCCGTGAGGCCGAGTATGTGGCGGCCTCTTGGAGTGTGTGTCATGCAGTTTGGCTTTCAAATTTACTAAGGCATCTGGGAGTGATCCAAGACGAAAGGATTGTAATTCGAGTTGACAACAAGTCAGCGATCGAGTTGACAAAGAACCCGGTTAATCATGGAAGGAGCAAGCACATTGACGTCTGATTTCATTTCATCCGAAAACAAGTTAGAGAAGGAAAGGTTGAGCTGGAGCATGTTGAAAGTCGAGCTCAAGCTGCTGACATATTCACCAAACCACTGCCAACTACACTGCTGGAGAGTTGTAAAAGACTTATTGGAATAAGAGATGAGAAGAGTATTTAAGTTTACGGGGGAGATTTATTGTAAAACTTAAATTAGACGTTTAATATTCCTATAATGGTTTTAATTACGAGTGGTATAACTAATGAGTTGTAAACCTATTTAATAGGTATTATGATTTACGTTTGGTATTTGAAAAGACAAATATTTTGGCCATAAATAATTGTAACAACTCATTTGAAATTGTATCAGGAGAAAAATTGAGAGCGTTGATTTGTTTTCCTGTTATCAACAGCATGCATGTGGTATGATCTTTTTTTTTACATTCTTTTCTTCTGTGCTCCCTAGACCATTTTTTCCTATGACCATCTCCTTTTCTGATTCTGCTATGCTTCTCTTTATTATTCCAGGTTATGAAGGTGTAGGCGGTGGACCAAGCCAATTTCATATTTGATGTTTCAACCCCATTATTATATAATAATCTGTGTTGATTAAATAGAATATCTGTATTTATACTGTTTCAGATGTTCCATCATTTTAAATTAATACAAAACAACAATGCGACGATACTATTGTTTTTAAAACCGAAACAAGAATCTTAACAGCACAAAAAGAAACAAGATGAAAATGCATGCATGGAGAAAAATATTATATCATATATTCATATTAATAATAGTACAAAACAAGAATGTGGCGGATACTAATGTTTTAGAACCAAAATACGACAACATGAAACAAGATGAAAACGGTGCAAGGCTTCCAAAGTTGAATGCATGTTGTAAATGATCATAATGACAAAACAATATTCCTATTCATAATCATACTAATACAAAGCAAGAACGATAACACAATATGGAACATGATGAAAGTTGAATGCATGTTGGAAATGATCATAATCACAATGATATCAACACAAAACAAGAATCATAACTCAATATGAAACATGATGAAAATGCATGATGGTGGAAATAATTATCATATAATATAAAACCCATACACAGACATATATGTTTGTAAAATAAGTCACTCACTTCGATTCCCACAATGGTCATTACAATACTCCCTGAAACTGGGTGACCCTGGGCCAACAGTGAGCTTATCATCCCGATTCTCAAACTCCTCCTCAACATTATTCTCTGCACAACATTTGCCATCACCACTACTACGCTTTTCTTTTCCTCCAATCTCTCGTGCCCTCGCTTCCACCTTCATATCATTCCTCTCCACGACACTTTTCTCTTTCATTGATCCATCATTATCCTTGGCTTCTTCATCACCCAATGGCTTCATTTTATTATTATTATTACTATTCCCATGCAACGATTCACCCTCGACACCACTCTCAACAATGAGTGGAGCCATGGCACGACGATCACCATTTACATGTTCACCACGGGCTGCGTTTTCAGCGTCTAGAGTTGAGATGCCACAACCCATGATCGAGTATGCAATGAATTAATTAGAGGGAATATTATGAGAACAAAGGAAAGGAGTGCAATTAGGATGGTAACAAGGATGAATATTTAGAGAAGAAGCGTAACTAATGTTAAAAAATATTAGTTAATTGGTGAGGGATGAGAATGGAGGATGCAACTGTGGTCACGGTGTTTCATAGGATGTTGCAATGCATTGTTTGAACTTCCTGTTTGACATAACCTTCATTGCTCTTTCGAGCAATAACAACAATGACACGGTGGAATCTACGAAAAAGAATGATAAAATAGGAAAATTAATTCAACAAACAAATGAGACAGACAACTCAACAATCAAACAAATTGGCACTTTTCTAAAAAAAAAATGAGACGAAACGGAAGAAAACCACAAGTTTCATGTAACGCTGACAATAATTATCCTCTGCCTATCCTGGTTAGAGATGGAGGCGAAACAAAAAAATCTATAATGCATCTCTTAATTATTTTTTTTAATCTATTCAAATGGATATTTTATTAAAAAAAATATAACTTTAATAAGTGATTCTAAGAAATATGATTTTAAAACAAAAGAATAGTATTTTCTAATATGATTTCAAATTTTATTTGTTTTTTAATTTTTGAAAAATAATCCATACAACTTATATATAAACATACTATATAAGTCGTTATATATAAGTATGATTTCTACTTTTTATATTTTAATAATTATATTATTACTATTATTATTATTATTATTGATAATATTTTTTGTATTAATAATAAAAATAATTATATTTATATTATTAATATAACTATAACTTATTACATTACTTTTATTAAATATAATTTTATTATTAATATAAAAATAAGATAATATTAAAAAAATAATATAATTATAATTATTACCATTATAGATTTTGATAATAATTTTGTTGTAGGGTGTAAGTTTGAAACAAATAATAATCTAGATAAATTTAAATATAATTCTTAGAAAAAAAAATTTAAATATAATCCTTAAAAAAATTTAAATATAACTATTAAAAATTATAAGATATTTTATCCTGAATTAGTGTAGGAAGATGATGATTTTATTCATCTATATCGTATTTCGAATTGATGGTGAAATTTCATTGTTATTCATCTTAAATGAAAATTTTAATCATATCTTCTTACTTTTTCAGGAAAATTGTTGTTATGATATCCTTCCTCTCAAGAAGGATATTTTTTCATTATACTTCTGTCATATTAAAAACCTTAAAAAGAGATTTTTCATATTCCAATATTGCTAATTAAGTTTTCTCTTCTGTTCTAATAATATTAAAGTGCATTCTCCACTCATACTACTTTCCTTTTTTTTTTTATTAAAATATATACAATATAACATATACAAATATGGACCTACCTCCGAATGTAGATTAATCCTCCTATTGTTCTATAGTGTACTTTTATTATTTGAGAATTTTTTAAATAAGATTTCTCAAATATTATTATTAATTAATATTCAATTGAAATCTTACTATTTTTATTTTATTCTAACTGTATGGGATTTTAATTTTTAAGGCTTTGAAATAGACCTTCTAACTAACATACATATATAATTATTTTATTTAGTTTGAAGAATTATCTTTTTATCTTCTCTTTTTTTCTTAACGTCTATTTTGACTTTTCGTCTTCTCTTCTATTGATATTTGTTGGTATTATTTATCCAAGTAACTAAATCTTAAAGGATCAATTTACAAAATCAAAATAAAAAAGTCGAATTAAGTTTTGCACTAATTGTTGTTATAAATTGAGTTTTCTCTTCTCTAATCCCAATTTGCTTTTGTGTGATTACAAATTGTGTTTATAGTTTTAGAATCAAATTAGGATTCAATTGGATCTTAATTTGATTATTAAATATGGATTACGGTGAATAATACTTGGATTTGATTTGTGGTTTAGTTAATTAACTGTTTAAATTGGGATAAAATCTTTAAAGAACTAGAGGATTGTTTGGTTACTGAATTCATGGATTGATTTGTTTTCATCTTCTTCATTTCAATTTTTGTTTAAATAAATCAATACTATACATAATTAAACTTTAATTATCATTTATAAATCATTAGATATAATTAATTACTTAAAAATACAAGTCTTTACATCTTTTGCTTAGAATTCTCTCAAGACTTTTGTGGTGATAAACTTTGAATTACTTTGACACAAAAGTACTTAACTCCCATTTATTTGGCTAATTGAAGTTTGTAAATAAAGTTTTCAGTTGATAACTGAATGTAACAAATTCAAATTTTAGGGTTTGTTATATTATTACCTCCTTAAGAGAATGAAATTACAAATGGAAACAATGAAATTATTTAGAGTATCTTTTTTATGGAAAACTAATTCTATTTTAGAGCACAAACAACTAGAAAAAATTGTAAGGATCGAGGTATTTTCACTATTCCATATGTCATTAATTAGTCATAACAATTTAAAAATGTTGTTCTGCACTTGAAAGCCTCCATTAATGTAATGTATTTGACTATATATTCTTGGCAAAATTTGGGTCATGTATTTATATATGATACATATTTAAATGTGTTAGGGTCATTATTTATTAAGCCAAATAATAAAGTGATCTGACTAAATTAAAAAGGTTTGGCTAAAGGCATATGTCATGAAAATAAAATTGTGTAGAGACCATAGAGCAATTTCTAATTTGATGAGGGGTCAAATTGGAAATACTAAAACTTAAGTAATTAACCTAATTTTGGTTATTTTAAGGGGTCATGGTCCCCTTCTGGGAGCACGTAGACAGAACGTAGTTACAGTCTCGTTCTTTTCTTTCTATCCCCATCAAGAGAGAAAATTAAGAGGGAAAATACAGGTGCTCTTCAGGTGGAAGACCATAAGATCAATAATGCTCTAAAAGGGACATCATCATTATGGTTAATTCAGGTACGTTTTCGCATTTAGTTTACAACATGTTTATGAGTATGAGATTACTTTATATTTGATCGTTAGATTGAAGATCATATTTAATTATCAGTTTACCTAACAATTGATATCAGAGCAACTAAAACCAACAATGATTACTCATCCTGACATAACCAAATGACATGGATTCATCATGAAATGTGTAGCATGAAAAATTACGTGAAGGTGATCTGTACACGTCTATTTTCAACTGGTCCAAACTTTAACTTATCGAGATCGATATAATAACCTTAATGTACAAAGTATAATGAATGAACAAGAAAACTGCAGATCTATAGATAACCAAATATGTCCAAAAACAATGTATACATATATAAAATTAAACATAGAACATAAAATATATGAAAATGACTAACTCCCACTAAACCACAAATTCCTCAAACTGTAAAACACCCATGTGAGCAACATGCTCATGAAAGACCTTGGGTGGAAGTCCTTTAGTTAGAGGATCTGCTATCATGGAGTTTGTCCCTAAATGTTCTATGGTAATCTGTCCACTCTGTACTCTTTCCTTAACAACTAGGAACTTAATGTCGATGTATTTTGACTTAGTCGAACTTCTGTTGTTGTTGGAATACAATACAGCTGATTTGTTGTCACAATATAACTTAAGTAGTCTTTCAATTCCTTTCACAATTTGCAGCCCTGTGACAAAATTTCTCAACCATATTCCGTGATTCGACGCCTCATAGCATGCTACAAATTCTCCTCCCATAGTGGATGATGATGTAAGGGTTTGCTTGACACTTCGCCAAGAAACCGCACCACCTGCTAACATGAAAATGTAACCTGAAGTGGATTTCAAACTATCTTGACATCCTGCAAAGTCCGAGTCAGAAAACCCAGCGACCTCCTGTATGTGAGCATGTAATCTTTTGTTCTCTTTAAATATCTCATGACCCTTTTTGCTGTTTTCCAATGGTCTTTTCCTGGATTGCTTAAATATTTGCCTAGAACCCCAACTATGTATGCTATGTCTGGACGCGTACATACTTGGGCATACATCAAACTCCCTATAGCTGATGCATAGGGAATCTTTTGCATTTCCTCAATTTCCAAATTTCCCTTTGGGCACTGATTGAGACTAAACTTGTCTCCCTTAGCAACTGGAGTATCCCTGGATTTACATTCATGCATGTCAAACCTTTTAAGAATTTTTTCGATATAGCTCCTTTGTGATAATCCTAAAATACCCCGACATCGATCTCGGTGTATCTGAATTCCTAATACAAAAGACGCATCACCAAGATCTTTCATTTCAAAATTCTTTGATAAAAATTTCTTGGTTTCGTGCAATATGCCTATATCATTAGTGGCAAGTAGAATGTCATCAACATACAAGATCAGGAAAATATACTTACTCTCCTTAAACTTGTGATATACACAATCATCAACAATATTCATCTCGAAGCCAAATGAGAGAATTACTTGATGAATCCATGTCATTTGGTTATGTCAGGATGAGTAATCATTGTTGGTTTTAGTTGCTCTGATACCAATTGTTAGATAAACTGATAATTAAATATGATATTCAATCTAACGATCAAATATAAAGTAATCTCATACTCATAAACATGTTGTAAACTAAATGCGAAAGTGTACCTGAATTAACCATAATGATGATGTCCCTTTTAGAGCACTATTGATCTTATGGTCTTCCACCTGAAGAGCACATGTATTTTCCCTCTTGATGGGGATAGAAAAAAAAGAACGGGACTGTAACTACGTTTTGTCTACGTGCTCCCAGAAGGGGACCATGACCCCTTAAAATAACCAAAATTAGGTTAATTACTTAAGTTTTAGTATTTCCAATTTGACCCCTCATCAAATTAGAAATTGCTCTATGGTCTCTACACAATTTTATTTTCATGACATATGCCTTTAGCCAAACTTTTTTAATTTAGTCAGATCACTTTATTATTTGGCTTAATAAATAATGACCCTAACACATTTAAATATGTATCATATATATACATGACCCAAATTTTGTCAAAATATATTATTTTTTATCTATTGGTTCTTTGCCAAAGATAGGTGTGTGATCCAACTTGA